ATTTTTGTGGTGGGCTGAGTGATGGTCCCCTGAAGATGTCCAAGTACTAACTCCTTTGACCTGTTAATGTTACCTTATATGGCAGAAGGGCCTTTGCAGATGTGATTAATTTAAGAATATTGAGATGGGAAGATCATCCCGGATTATCCAGGTGGGCCAGCATAATCATCAGGGTCCTTATATTATAAAAGGGAGGCAGGAGATCATAGTGGGTAGTAAGTGTGAGAGTGTAAGCAAGAGATTGGGAGTGGTGCAAGAAAGGGGCCATGAGCCAAGGAATGTAGGCAGCCTCTAGAACACGTGTCAAACACAAGGCCCGCGGGCCAAATCCGTCCCGCCAGGCCTTGCAATGTGGCCCGCACCGCGCTGTCATCACTGCACTCCGCTGCGTTTCCATCACAACGACAGTTTATGACTGTTCAGTAAACCATTCGGCCCACGATTTAGGCTGGATTTTAGATTTTGGCCCCTTCTCTGATTGAGTTCAACACCCCTACTCTAGAAGCTGGAAGAAGCAAGGAAATTCTCCCCTCAGAGCTTCCAGAAGGAGCCATCTCCACTGAGACTTGGACGTTAGCCCAGTGAGACTGATTTTAGACTTCTGACCTCCAGAACTATTATAGAATAAGTTTGTATTGTTTTTTATGCCATTAGGCTCATTTGTAAAGCAGGCACATTTGATACAGCAGCAATAGGAAACTAATATAGTTATCTTGGAGCTCTTTCTGTCCATACTAAGTGGTTCTCTTCCCCAGTCTCAAGAAGTATCCAAGTAGGTATAGGTTGATGAAGCTGTGTGGATAAGGCTGGTAGTTTTTTGAATCCTCTTCTGGCATTGAGGACCCTCTTTAGCAGTGGTCACCAACCGGCGGTCCGAAAGGTTGGCGGCCGCTGGTCTAAGGAGACCTTTGGACCAGCGGCCACGAACGGGTGGTCTGGGCCCACTGGTGGTCCGTGAGGTCCGAAAGGTTGGCGACCGCTGCTCTGCAGGGTGTTGATCCTCACCGTGGCCCATCCCGCCTCAGGGTGTTCTGAGAAAAGCACCTCCTTTCACAGCAGTGGGCAGGGCTGCTGGGTGCCCAGGATGGCCAAGAGGTGACATGGAGTTCTCTCTCTCCAGGAGCCTGGGCTGCACTGTGGTAGAAATGCTGACAGAGAAACCACCTTGGGCAGAGTATGAAGCCATGGCCGCCATTTTCAAGATTGCCACGCAGCCCACCAACCCTCAGCTGCCCTCCCACATCTCTGAGCACGGTCGGGACTTCCTGAGGCGCATTTTTGTGGAGGCCCGACAGAGACCTTCGGCCGAAGAGCTGCTCACACACCACTTTGCACAGCTTGTGTACTGAGCTCTCAAGGCCACGCTGCTGCCAGCTGCCCCTGCTGCAGGGCAAGGGGCTGCTATGGGACTCAGCAAAGTTGCTGCTTCTCCCAGGCAAGGCTGAGGACCATGGAACTACAGTCCAGCCAGCGTTTGTCTGTGCCCCTTCTGCCACTGGGGCTCAGAACCAGGGTGGGGTGGCTGCAGCCTCAAGGACTGGAAGCCCCCAGCCTGCCAAACCCGAGACCTCCAGCCTCGTAAGCTCAGCATGGAGGGCAAGGGGCTAGGAACAGTGTGCAAGGTGCCATGGTCTCCACCATTGGGGCTGTGTCTTGTCACTGCAATCAGCTCCAGAGCCCTGGGTCTGGGGCACAAGATGGACACGAGGGTCCGAATAGTGTTACTTTCATTCAAGTGTTATTTTGTTTCTCCTCCCCATGTCTGGAGATCACCAGGGCATCTCTGGGCTGGATGAGCCCACCCAAGCCTGAGGTAAAGCCCAGCGTCCTGCAGCCAATGGAAGGCAGAGGCCTGGGCTGCACTCCCCTGGAGCCCCAGGTCAGCTTGCCAGTCCCTTCCTTACCAAAGATGAATGAAGCAATGTTATGCTGCCTTATTCAGGGAAGGAGGACCTGTCCTACCTGCCCTGTGACCCTGCCTTCCCAAGCAGGGGCCTGAGATGTGGAACTGCCCACTAAGGGGCAGTTTTGTCAATGCAATTGTCTGTTTTACAAGTTGGAGTCACTCTTATGCTGTACCCAGTTTCTAAACTGGAGACTGTGTCCCCTCTGGGTTCTGAGTCCCCCTGCTGTGGGCCCAGGCCTCGGGCTGGATTGGAAAGAGCTGAAGGTAATGGCCTTTGTGCTCCTGGCCTGGCATCTGTTCTCACACTGCAGCGGACAGGAAGATGGACAGCACACTGAGAGCGTAGGCTGGCCAGGGGAGTTGTATCAGGCTGTCTGTGAGTATGACCCTGCTAGGCCAGAGCCCTCCAACTGGTAGAAGTGAGAGCCCCTGTGATGCCACCAACCATGTCTAAAACCGCCAGCTCTGTTCCTCCTTGGCCTGCCTTGCCCATCCCCACGAGGTCTCACCCTCTTTCCCTTCTTGCTCCTCCCTTGGCGGAGGAATGGCATCAGGGGTCTGGGAGCCAGTATCTCCAAGCAGCTTAGAGTTGGCCTTATTTACCTCAGCCTGGGCGCTAGTCCTTTCTTCAGGCCCCTCCCCTCCAAAATGTGCCTATTGCTAGAGCTCCTCCCTCTCAACACCCAGTTTCCTTGGGAGTTGTCATTAAAGAAAAAAAAAAAAAGCAGCCAGTGCCCAGGGATGGGTGTCTCCAGGGAGCTGAGGATTAGCGCCAGGCAGTTCATTGCCAGCCATGCCCACGTCCCTGTGGGCACCAGAACAAGCCAAAGCCTTCGTTGTATGTTGACGATGCACTTTTATGAATGTAGTTTCTATCGCTGTTTTTAGCCTTTTCACATCATGTAATGTGAGGCCTTGTACTTGTTAATTTATATCTCAGATCATATTTGGTGGTTTATATATATCACTTCTAGACTGTTACAGGTGATGGATGCCTCAAGAGAGAAAAATGAAAGCAGGTTTTACAGGAATGTGTTGCACGGTGCCAGTTGGGCCTGGGCCCATTTCCATCCTCTTCTCCCAGGGGTCTTTGTCAGGCACCCCAGCCCGGCCCTAAGACAGCGAGCATATGCTCCTGCCTCCCCCTCGGCCCTTGCCCAGGGTGGGGACCAGCCCCTCATCTCGACCAAAGCTGTGTAGTGGCAGCTCGGCCTCTCCACAACCCTGTCCTGATGGCTCCACCACTCTTCTTGGGCCTACACCCCTGTCCTGTCTCCATTTTCTAAGAGGAAACAGAGCACGCGCAGTGCCGGAGCTGACAAGATGAGACGACTCTGTGTCCCAGGTTCAGGCTCTCACAGAGCCCCCGCTCCCCCCACCCCAGGGTCTTACTTCACAGGGAATGTTTTTAAAAATTAATTTGCAAACAAGCCAACAAGCCATGCACTCAAAACAAAAAAAACAACAACCAAGACCCTGATATTTGTGCCAAAAATGTGGACATGCTGGATCAGCATCCTCAGGACCAAGCTATTGTTTAATTTTAATTTATTATTAAATAACTCAGATGAAAAAGTTGTGGGCTTAGAACAGTCTGGGCCCAAAGGTTCTGAAGGGCAATTCCCAGCGGCTCCAGGTTGCTGTGGGAAGGGCCTTGTGCCATTTGCTCATCATTCCGTGGGGTGTCAGCCTTGGCCAACCCAACAGAGGCCAGAGCTGGGGAGAGTCTGCCCTCTGCCACCCTCCTGCCCCTCCCACCCACCTCAGCTCTGTGTCTGTGTCTGAATTGTGGGTCGTGCAGAAGAACCTGCAGCCATAGTTATTTGACTATATCTTGACCGAGGGCTTGCAGAGCAAAGCCAGGCCAGTGTCGTGCATTACTTAAAATAAAAAGGGATCATTTATACCCAAGGGGTCCGGTGACGATGCTTTTGGTTGAACGTGGAGGGAGCAGGTGTTTGCCTGGGAGGTGCCAGGCATAGTGCCTATTAACAAATGTGGGCCCGAGTAGAGAGCTTGACTCCAAGAGGTAGTTCTGGATGGGACGACTTGGCTGGTACCACTGCCAAGATGGCACCTCCCCTTCCTGCTGCCAGCTCTGCTGAGGGCTGACTTACTGACATGGCACTGGCAGTCCCCACTGTCACGTGGCTGGGTTCCCAGCACCTTTATGACATCTAGTAGTCTTCCCAGCCTAGGGAGTCTTCCCTCAGTCCCACCCTTTCAAGGCAGGAATCCAGTGCCTCCCCCTGGTCTATGTGGCTGTTCCTGAGCTCTGGGCAGTGAGACCATCCTTGTCCCCATCTAAGTCGGGCCTGCCTTGAGTGAGGCTCTCAGAGGACCCATTCTGCTTACTGTTAGCTTTGCTGTTTCGAGGAGCCAAGTCTACTTCCACACAACAGTGGCCCATCTGCCACCAGTTTGAGGCCTCGCATAAGGCCACTTAAGAACTTCAGTTCTATGGGGCAGTGGCAGTAAGTCCCCAGGAGCCTGCCCTCTTGCTCTACCAACTTCCATAGCTCACAGGCAATTTGGGGAAATAGGGACAGCTGGGCTGGGTTAGACAACCCAGACTTCTTGCCTCTATTCTGTTTGGTGTGGGGGGTCCTCCAAGTGTGCCTTGTCCCTCAGAGGGGGCAGGAAAGTTGTTTGGACTACCTGGGACTAACCATGGCTGCCCTCATTGGAGCTTGAAAAAGCAGGGTGAGATATGCTGATTCTCTCCATCCCTTACTGATTCCAGGACAAAAGGGGCCCAGACCAGGGCTCAGCAGAAGGGTTCTGCTTTCTACCCCCACATATTGAAGTGCAGTGAAGCCAGGAACCATCACGCACTGATGCCTGACCCTCTTAACCAACACCAAGGCTGAAGGACAAAGGAGTTTGTTATAAATCCAGAGGTCTTACAGCACGGAAACATGGCTGGAAGAGGACACCCTTTTTCTCAGGCTGACTGGTATTTCTGATACCCATCACTGTCCCCCATCAAGGCCAGATGTGCTCTGTGCCGACTGTGCCCTCCCCCCTTCACCTTAGCATGGTGAATCTGTGTCCCTGCCCCCTGCCCCCCAGCCAATCAGACCACATAACAGAGTCAGGATCCGTTGAAACATGTTTAAAACGGGGTTGATCACAAGTCAGAACCGGCAGAAACGAGAAGAGGAAGGGAGTGTGGCCCCCACCAGACTCCGTGGCTCTCAGACTGGCAGGTGCTTTCGCTTGTGCGGGCGGTGTGCAATGGTCCCAAGCCCCGCCGGGGCATGCCCTGCCACAGCGAGCCCTGGGGGCACTCTGCGAGGCCCAGCAGAGGCCCTCTGGCTCTCCTTCCTCCAGTCTCCATGGCTCAGAACCAGGCTAAGGACAGAGGTAGATGGGGAGACAAACGGGCCACACGGGGCCCCAGGTGGCAGTGAGGGAGCTTAGGACCCTGAGGGGGCATGCTGACTCCTGGCTGGAGAAAAGGCACCTAGATAAGGAAGCTGGGCTTGGGGGCCTCCCGGGGAGCCAGGGGGTTAGGTGGGAGAGGGCGAAAGCAGCAGGAAGCAGGGTGGTGAGCAACCTCCGACCCTGGTTCCCAAATCCCCACCCTCTGAGGGAGAACGAAGGAATCCTGGAGCAGAGCCCTGCCCCCATAACCCTCTGCTGGAGCAAGATGGCCTCATCCCCTTCCCACCGTCTCCCCCTGTGAGCTCAGGTCCAGTCTCTCCACACTTCCCACTGTCCTGCTCCAGGCCCTCGTCAGAGGGAATGGACGGTCAGAGAGCCTTAGGCTGTCTTGGTGCTGGGGTCCACCTCCTTGTGGGCCCAGAGCTCCTTGTGCTGCTTCCGGCCGAAGCCCTCGTCATAGTTGCCTTTGCTCTTAAACAGCTGCTGAAAGTGGGGTTTGCAGTAAAACTCGCCATGCAGTGCCGCGTAATTGCCCAGGCTGCAGAAGCAGAACAACTGTGGTCAGGTCGGGTGAGGGCTGGAAGGCGGGCAGGGGCAGGGGCAGGGCAAGGGCGCACCTCAGCTTGGAGTGGCAGTGCTTGCAGCAGAAGCAGGAGTTGTGGAAAATGAGCTTGTCCGCCACCAGCCTCTCCATGGGGTACACGGTCTTCTGGCAGGAAGCACAGGTCTCTTTCACCTGGGCCCGGAGGCTGAAGGACTGTGGGGGAGAGATTCAGCCAGGGGTCTGACCAGCGCCCATCCCTCCCTCCATCCCCAACACCACTCCAGGGGTGGGGTCCTACCTTGGAGCGCTGGACAGTGCTGGGGCCGCCGCCGCCTTTGGCTTCCTAAGGGAGAGGGCCAGTCAGGGCAGGGGCAGCTGAGATGCCCCAGCCTTCACCGGGGTCACCAGCCCAGATCCCAGGGGCACTCGAGGGGGGAGGGGAAGGGTGGTAGGCAAACACCGCTCCTCACCCCTTCATCCCCAGGCCAGACCCCTGCCCCGGAGTGTCCTCCCACCCGGCTGGTCACCTACATGAGAGGGGGTGGCCGGGGCGGCTCCTGCGGCCTGGAACATGGCTGATTGGAAGTGATGGTGGCCCGGGCTGGGACGCGGCACCCGCTGGGTTCTGCAAGGGGAAGTCGGTAGGTCAGGCCCCACAAGCCCTTCCCAGGCCTGCAGGGTGGGGGTGTTTACAGGCAAGGGGGGCGGGGGGCTGCGGTTGGGACTTTCCCAAGTCATTTCCTGTTGCTCTGGGTCTTGCCACTTCCGCCCCTCACCCCGTCCCCCTTCTCCCGCCAGCCCCCCACGCTGCTCCCCCGGGGCGGGGGCTCCTGAGTGGAACCATATGTCGGGGCCTAACAGGGCGGCTGAGGAGGGGGCTGTGCACAGCCGCCGGGAGCGCCTCGCGGAGCGGGACCGCTGGGGTGGGGTGGGTGGGAGTGGGTGGGGGTGAGGGAGGTCAGGAGAGGGCGGGCCGGGCAGGGCTGGGGCGACATCGCGCTGCCCTGGCCTGACCCCAGCCCGACGCTGCCCAGCGCGGGGCCGAGGGGCCGAGGCCGCCGGCTCCCCAGCCCGGTCCCCCCGCCCCTGGACAGCGCTCTCCGGCCAGGCCCGCTGCGCGCCCCGCTTCTTCGTCCCCAGACCCCGCGTGGGCGCGACCCCTCACCCGGGATCCCGCGGACCCACCGAGGGGAATGTGGCCCCTCCCCGCCCGGCGCCTTGTCCCGGGGGCCGGCTGCTGGCCTCGGGGCTCCGGAGCGGCGCCCCCCGCCGCCCCCCTAGGCGCCCGGTTTGCGAGCCGGTGCAGCCCCCACCCTCGGCCGCCCGCCAAGTCTCACCGGGTCCCGCCGAGACCGCGGGCGGGGGTCGGTGTCCGGGGGGCGCTCCCAGCGCGAGGCGGGCGCGGGCGCGAGCAGCCACCACTCGCTGTGGCTCCCGGCGCCCCCGCCGCCGCCGCCTTATCGCGGCGCCGCCCCCGCCGCCCCCGCCGCGCGCCCGCCCATTGGCTCCGCCGCGCCCGGGGCCGCCCCCGCCCCGCGCCGCCGCCGGCCCCTCCGCGCTTTGTCTTCCCGCCCGCCGTCCCCCTTTGTCTGCCCGCTCCCCCCGCGCTCCGCACCCCCCGCCCCCGGCCCCGCGAACCCGGGACCCTGCTCCCCCCGCGCTCCGCACCCCGCCCCCGGCCCCGCGAACCCGGGACCCCGTTCCCCCCGGCCCCAGCGGGCGGAGGCAGGGACAGAGCCCCGGGCCGCGGGCCGCGGGCCGGGACGAGTTCGGGCTGAGACCCGGGGTCGCCGGACAAATGGCGAACCGGGCTTCCTATGGGCCTTTCGATGCCGGGTTCCCCCAAGTTGGCTCCGAGGTGCAGGCCTGACCGCCCCGTTCCCGGCCGGCGCTCCGTAAACCTGTGTCCGGACCCCGCAGGGCCGCCCCGGGTCCCGGCCTGGGGCGCGTCCTCCCACCGGGGGCAGCCCCGCCTGCTCGCCCCGGGAAAGGTGGCGGCGGTGCCGGGCACGCGGCCTCCCAGCCCGGCCTCCAGGCTGCGAGGCACAGCGGCCGCGGGGCCGGGGCCTCCGTCCAGTCACCGCCGCCTGCGCTCTGCGGGATCGGCTGCACGAAGGCCCGAGGCACCTGAGACCCCCAGACCAGGGCCGGGAGGCCACTGCCTTTGGTGTCCCCCAGCATTGGTCCTCGGAGTCTGACGGTTCTGTGGCCAGATTGTGTGGGATTAGTCACCCCTGGCCCCTCAGGGGAGGAGATCTCCATCCCTAAAACAAGCAGACCTCGGCAATACAGGGGGCGAGGCTGAGGTTTTAAGTGTTTGGTCCATGGGAAACAGCTGGGGAAGCCAGGCCTCCTGACCCGCTCTACCCCTGCCCTAGACCACGCCGGCGGAGCCTGCTCCCGCCCACAGCCCGGGCCAGAGGCAGCACCCAGGCGTAGGTGCCGGGACCCTGCTCCAGCCCACAGCGCAGGCCTGAGGCAGCGCCCACGAGGTAGGTGACCTCCCTCAGCTGTGCGGGAGCCGTGCCCTCCAGGATAGACCTTCGCTGGGAGGGCGGGTCCTGCGGGCACAGGATGCAGAGCTCTGCCTGACACCAGGCTGCAGGCTGTTTGACGAAGCTCAGCCCTAAACATAGCTCGTTCCCACGCGGCAGGAATAGAACCCGCGGCCCCTGGCAGGGAGGCGAGGCAGCAGGCTTCCCGGCCCCCAGCTGCTCTTGGCTCGCCCAGCGGCCCACTCCTCGCCCACACCGCGCTTCACTTTCCTCCTCTCCAGAGGGTCTGTGTTAGCGTTGAGCTGCAGGCCTGAGGACTCCCTGGATGGGTGAGAAACTTTCCCGCCAGGTTTCCTGCCATCAGGTTCTCAAAGGGGCCGGAATGATTTTAAAAGGGTGAAGCCCTCCCTCCGGGACATAGGGATTGAGGAAAGTCAGGGGGCTTGACCAGGAGGCCCCCTTGCCCTGCCCAGGTCCAACTGCAGGGAGCTGCTGCAGTCAGCAGTTTGGCTTAAGAATGAGCTGACATGCAAGGTGAAGAAAGCAGCTTACAAAGAAAACCAGCTGAAAATGATGTTAGGAAAGGGGAACTTGAGGTTTAAAGAAGAAATATAGAGCTGGGCAGGGGAGAGAAGGGTCGGAAATGTGACCTGACCTCACACAGTCCAGGTCAGGCCTCCACACCCCACCTCATGGTTGGGGTCATTCCTTCACACCACCCCTGTAACTGCCAAAGGAAGAGGCTTTTTTCTTGGTTAAGCTGATGTTACCATCGAGGAGGAAAGGGAGAGCATCTGATGCTGCAAAGCGTCTTCAGGAAATAGGGAGGGGCGCTTCCTTAATCTCACATCTGAAGGGCCTCACCCAGAGCGGGGCCCCTCACCCCTGAGGGGCTGGCAGAGGGGAAGGGCCAGCTGGTGCACATGCAGGCTGAGGGGCACCGTGAAAACCCAGGTTAGAATCACCCCCTGGCCCAGCTCTCTGGCTGCCAGCCAGGATGACAGGGCAGGGGGGCTGGGCTGGTTCTTAGGTTACCTGCTCTTTGGGTATCAGTTCCAGTGGTAAGGAGACGCCGCAAGTCATGTTACCAAATAACCCCTCCACCTCCTCACCTGCCGGAGGTGAGCGTCCTTATCTGGACTCCTGGTGGCCCTACCCTCCGAGGGCTGGTCTCCAGCACCTCGTCCTTTCCGCCCAGAGTGTTTAGATGGCCACAGGCTAAAGTTAACAGTCTCTGATTTTCAGATAGTTAAGAGACAAAAATCTATTATGGGTTGTAAAAAAATGGGTGTGTTGTGCGGCTGTCTTCCGTCAGCACTTGTGGGACGGCTCTCGGCTCTCGATGGCAGGGCCCCTGGGGGACAGACATGTCTGAGCCTGTATGGGCAACACACAACGCTGCTCTCCCCAATGGGTTCTCTGAAAATTTTAATTTGTTCCGACAATAAAACTAACACGGTGTAAGGACTTAAGCCCTCTGGCTAGGCAAGACATTAGGACCCTTGAGATAAAGCACCGAGGCAGCGCAGGAGGCAAGAGGCAGGGATGGACTCGTGGGAAAGGAATGCACGGAACAGATGAACTCTGGAGGAAGGGCCCGACTGTAACAAGGGCCGGGACCCACTGCCCCAGCCTTCACCGGGTGCTTAAAAAGGAAAACACCCTTCCCCCAGCTGTTAGAGGGCAGAGGGCAGAGGGCAGGGGCACAGGTTGCTTATTGCTTGCCTCTCCATGGCCTGCAGGGTCTGGGAACACTGGAAAAGAATGGAATTTGGCTGGTAGGAGAGCATGAGTGGGAAGAGGAAGTCACACAGTTCTCTGTGTCAATGAGTCAAAACCCTGGACTTGAACTTCAGCCCCCAGGGCCAGGATAGCATCTCTTCCTTCTGAAGAGGTCACTGAACTCCCAGGACTGGGAATATCCGCTTTCTGGCCGGTCCGGATCCCTGGTTGGTGTCTCAGAAGCCTTGGAGCAGTAAAGAAAAGTTTCTCTCCAGAACTTCTTTCCCCCCCAGCAAGCAGGCAACTCTCCTGGCAGAGAGGTCCTTTCTACCCAAGCTGCACCCGGAGGGTGGGAATGTGCCAGCGCTCAGGAAGGGCCGGGAGGCTCACTCGTCCCTCCGGTGCTGGAAAATGCACCTTCCTCAGGCTCAGAACTCCCAGTCGTCCACCTCCAGCTCTTCCAGGTTGGTTACCAGGCCGAAGATCCCACTGTGGCCCTGAGACTGGCTGCCCTCAGAGCTGGTGATGGGGGTGACAGGCCGCAGTAACTCGGGCAAAGCCTCTGAGGCTCGTCGCTTGATCTGGAGGAGGAAAGGGGGTGGGGAGGAGGGTGATCCTGCTGTTCTGGTCCCGGGACATCCTTGGCCCGTGGAGATGGGCCTTTGGAGTCAAGAGCTTCTCTAAGAGGAAGGAGCGGCACCTTTAAGGGCTTCAGGAATGGCCATTTCTCTGATTCGAAGGGAGGAGAAGAGAATGCCTAAAGACCCAAAGCTAAGGGTGTTGGGGAGTCAGAACCACAGGAAGAAAACAGAGCCTCAGCAAAGGCCTACTGTACCTGCTTGAAAAAAGAATGGCTCAGGAGGGTGCTGGCACTTGGTCTGCAGAGAAAAGGGAAGAGAAACCAACATCACCCTGTGCCCAGGTTTCCAAAATCCTGCTGCTTACACCTCACCCTCAAGTGCCCCTCTGCTTCCCCCCTCAGCACAGCCAGCAAAGCAGCCAGAGCTACTCAGCCTGGCCTCTTAGCAAACCTCAGGCCATCCCCCTGGCTGTGGGGGCGTGGACTCCTCCCCGGAACCCAGACCCTTCCAGGACAGATGCACCCTCTCGAACCCTTAACCCCCAGAGCCCACCTGCTCCCTGGAAAGCCCAGCGGAAATACCTGACATCCGGGTTGCGCTGAAGGCACTGCTCCACGAAGTGGTGGAAGTGGGAGGAGAAGGTGCGGTGGTAGGGGTGGGATAGCGAGTCTCCGTTGGAGGTCCTGGGGGTGCTGGTGGCCAGGCTGTCACTCAGGCCGGAGTTGGCCGCTGAGCGCGAGGTGCTCATGGTCAGCTCCTCGGCGGGGATGGTGCTGGTGTCCAGCAAGCAGGGGACTGTGCCGTTGAGCTTCTCCAGCAGCATCTGTGGGGGAGAGACCAGGACTGGGCTGGAGCTGGGAGAGCTACAGAGTTTCTTCACAAATACACTTTCCCCCAAATACAAATGAGATTTGGGGGGAGTAGAGAAAAGACAGTAGAATAAGTAACTTTTCCAAAGGAATGCTTGGCAGCCACACCCTAGCTAGGCCAAGCTTTTGCAGAGGGACAAGCAAAGAAGGGCCTCCTTCAATGTGGCTGCAAGGAAGGCGCTCACAGTCTCCTCCTACTTACAGGCACCGGGTCCTTTTAACTGTCGAGCCCTCACCCTGGGTGAAGGCAGCGGCCGGCAGGCTTTCTTTGAAGCACAGCCCAGTTTGCCAAGCCCAGGTGGTCTGATGGGGCTCATTAGCAGCACCTGCAGTGCCACAGCCTGGGCTGGCGCTGCGGCAGGCTGCACAGGAGCAGCACACCCGGGAACGGGCCAAGCTTGGACCCAGACTCAGCACATGTGAAACCCACCCCATCTTGGAGATCTAAGACCCTGTGGATTGTTCTGTCCAAGCCAGAAACCTGGAAATCTCTTTCAAGCTACAGTAGTATGGTGGCCACTTAGTATATGTGGCTATTTATATTTAAACTAGAGGCCCGGTGCATGAAATTCATGCATGGGTATGGCTCCTAGGCCTGGCTGGCAATCAGGGCCAATTGGGGCCTTCTGTCTGCCAGCTGGGGCCTTCCTTCTCAGGCTGCTGGCTAGTGCCTTCAGTCCTCCTTCCTTCGCTCTGTGCCACCCTCTGGTTGTCAGCACACATCACAGCGAGATATCAGTCTCCCAGTCAAACTCCTGAGGGGACACTTGGCAGATTAGCCTTTTAGATTTATAGATA